AGCGAGTGGCTGTGTGCTTCTGAGTTACAGGCTGGGCTTAAACAACGACAGCTGGGTAGGTAACTCGCTGCACTGGAAATTTGCTTCTTCTTATCTTCAGATTATAAGGCAAGGTGGTTTTCTACATAAACTTCATGGGTTTTGTTTTTTTACATCTCAACTTTGTAACTTAGAGGAAGTCTAAGTACAGGAGTCTGTAATGCATAGAGAAGGGAAACATGCGCTGTTGCTTCAATCAAAACCAGCTGAAATAGCTCAGGTAGACTTCCCCTAGTTGGCAGTGTTACCGTTTCTTAAAAATCATATGGTAATTGAAACTAATATTTGTGCTGGAAGCTGAATGAATTTCAAATGGGACTTAGACCTAAGTAATGCAGAACAGTGGTGCATAATTAAGGCGCTTCATAACTGAGATTGTTAGATTTGCATGATACCGCCATTTTCAAGGCATCTGCAACATTCCTCCCCAAATGAGCCCAATTAATTTAAGAAACTTTTCAATGATTTGGGATACAAGTGAGGAAGACAGGACTTTAACATGGTGTTTTAAGTAGGGGCAGTGTTGTGCTTTGAGGTGAGCCATCTGATGGTCTCGTGTTTAACAGAACATTGGGATATGAACTGCTCTGTGGACCATAAGACTATTTTAGAGCATATCTAATGTATATCTAATGCTTTTCCTCTTCAGAAAGCACTCATTCCCTGAATAAGGGGAAGATTTGTTCTAGGTGATGAAATTAAATGCAATCCAAATGCAATACAGGATCCACACATGCTGGAGATGTGAAGGGTCTCTGAACCTGCTGCTATGTTCTCCTGAACCCACTCCAGCTGAACCAAATTACTTGCTAATGTACCAATTTTCTCCTTCTTTAGCACTAGATAGGTCTTTTGCTGGGAGTAAAAACAATCTGAAGGCTGCTCCGAATGTCTGTGGTGAATGCTAGCCTCTAGAGGAGTACGACAAAGGATAGCAGGGCCTGGGAATGGGAACCATGAACTGGTAGGTGAAAGAGAAAAGTCTGACACATAAAAAGAAGATGAGAGAAAATGCAGGTTCTGTGCTACCAAGATTAGGAGGAAGAAAATTTTGTTTCTGTCTCCAAAATACTCTTAATTAGAGCTGACTGGAAGATCATACAATCATGGAACGGTTAGGGTTGGAAATGACCTTTAGATCATCTAGTTTTCAACCCCCTTGACGTGGGCAGAGACTCCTCACACTAGAAAATGTCACCCAAGGTTCTGTCCAAACTGGCCTTGAATGCTGCCAGGGATGGAGCATTTACCACTTCTCTGGGCAACCTGTTCCAGTGCCTCATCATCTTCACAGTAAATAACTTCCTTATATTTAACCTGAACTTCCCCTGTTTAAATTTAAACCCATTACCCCTTGTCCTATCACTACAGTCCCTGAGGAAGTCTCTCTCTGGCATCCTTGTAGGCCCGCTTCAGATATTGGAAGGCTGCTATGAGGTCTCCATGTAGCCTTCTCTTCTCCAGGCTGAACAGCCCCAACTTCCTCAGCCTGTCTTCATATGGGAGGAGCTCCATCCCCCTTATCATCCTCATGGCCCTCCTCTGGACTTGCTCCAATCCTTCCTATGTAGAGGGCACCAGACCTGTTCATAGTTCCGAGTGGGGTCTCACAAGAGCAGAGGGGCAGGATAACCTCCTTCGACCTGCTGGTCTCATTTCTTTGGAGGCAGCCCAGGATACGGTTGGCTTTCTGGTCTGTGAGCACACACTGAAGCCGGCTCATGTTCAATTTCTCATCAACCAGAACCCCCAAGTCCTCTGCAGGGCTGGTCTGAATCTCTTCTCTGCCCAACCTGTAGCTGTGCCTGAGATTGCTCCGACCCAGGTGTAGGACCTTGCACTTGGTTTGGTTGAACTTCATGAGTTTGGCATTATTTCACCTCCTAATGTGTCAAGGTCCCTCAGGATGGCATCCCTTCCCTCCAGCATATCAAGCAATTCACATAACTTAGCGTGTCAGTGACAATAGTCCATGGTGAAACACACAAAAATAAAAAAGTACTGTTTGTTCGTGGTGGCTCCTCCCCCAAAAGTCCCGCTTTGGCTTCTCCCTGGAAAAGTCCAACGCTCGGAAACCTTAACTTTAACTGTGGGTAATGACGTAGCTGGCTCCTTGAGTGTTAATGACGTGCAGTTTACTTCTGCAGCTGGTTCACATTCCTTTTTTTCATCAGAATGCCTCTGTTTTAAAGAAACACTTTAACCTGTCTTCTTCCCAAGCAAAGCAGATTTTATCAGGTCTTGCCCTGCCAGTCAACAGCTCAGTCCTCATTTTCCATGGGTGTAAATCCTTGTGGCTTAAAGGCAAATGTGGTATTGTGATCCTTTGGGCCTGCAGAAATAGCAAGGGCCAGTGGAACTGATAACCTGGGGGAGAGGGTATGTTTGTGCCCTCCTACCTACAGGTCCGTGGTGGCTGGCTGCCTGCAAAGTTTGTCAGGCCATACCATGATCTGGACAGACAAGTTGAAGAACCCGATGACTCAGCTACAGGAGATAACCTTGAAGATCCAGTGGAATGAGACAGAAAAAGAGAAAAAGGAATGATTTACAAAACATCACTTGGGGGCAACTGAAAAGTAACAATTCGAATATGTGTGCTTGCAACATAGCTATTATTAGAGGCTGTGATTTTGTGTATAAAAACACCTGCATTTACTAGCCTGTTGCTAATAAGAAACTACACCTTGTATGGTATGGATTTGTCACTTGCAAAAGAGAAGTTAGAGCATGCAAAATTACAGCAGCTGCTAGAAAATGCTAAGGCAGAAGTTAGAAAGATTCTAATAAGATGGTAGTGTTATAAAGCAGGTAATGGAACAAATTATGAGGGTGAGAGAACCTCACTGGTGGGAAATTTTCTTTGGCTGGTCCCCCACCGCCATCAGCATCTTCAATGCGCTGCTGCACCCTGTAGTAGTTATACTGCTAATGTAAATCTGTGTGTGCTTTGCCATGATAGGGACTTGTTACTGGATGAGGCAGGTGAAACTCTTCATTGACAATGAGGTGCAAGGACTGAGGTTGGCCAAATGCCTCCTACCACAGTCAAGGCCAAGACAGGGTTGGCCTCTGTGTTTGCCACCAAGAAGAACCTTTAGCTCAGCTGCTGGCTGCAACCCAGCAGGCGTGGAGCGGTGGGGACACATGCCATGCCAGACCCTGATGTAAGTGATGGCCTCCTCTGTTATAAGAGGGCCATCCAGGAGAGCAGGGCAGGCCAAGCAGCCTGTGGTTGGCACGAGAGATGATTTTGTCCGAATCCCTTGCTCAAGCAGGGTCATCTACAGCAGGTTTCATCATTAGCATAAGTAACTATTATAAGTAATAATAATATAATAAATAGCTATCGTATTTGAATCTTCTGTTCTCAAAGGCTAATGTCAAGAAGCTGCTCTTGTGTGACTTAAGATTCCTTAAGCAGAGAAGGGGATAAAGAAAGCCAAGGACTGTTTCTTTGGAAGTAACAGCATATATCTCCACGTTCCCAAGACTCCTAGTATATCTGACCAATGCATTGGTGAAACCTTGTTTTTTGAGCCTGGGCATCACTGCTTTGCTTTGCTTTTCCTCCATGTGATCTGGAGACTTGTTTCCAATTTGTGAAGAACTGAAGACAAAGTGATCACCGCCCTGATCATGCCAAACAAAATAGGACAGCGATTGATTTTTTGCTTTTAGTACATAAGCATGGGTGTGAAGATTTTGACGGGTTATGGTGCATGAATTTAAGTGACCACTCCAGGTCAATGCATGCATAAATACAAAAGTTGAAGACCCTCACTAGCCAGCTAGCAGAAAACACCAGGTGGAACCCCTTTCAGAGATGGACACGGGGGGTGGGACTATTTTATTATTAGTGGCAATAGGTATTGGGTTTTTATGTATTTTATGTTGTGTTCCTTGTCTTTTAGTGCTAATCTGTTCCCTTATATACAGTATATTATATAAAACTGTAGTTTTTATCTCTATATTTTCCCTGTATTAATAAATTAGTTGTGATTCTTTATTGTGTTGCGTTTCTCTCAACCCAGAATCCTCAAACTCTGGAACACTTAGTGTCATTAGCAAACTTGCTGAAGGGTCATTCAATCCCTATCTCCGTGTCTCTGACAAAGATGTTGAACAGGTTCGGTCCCAACACCAAACCATGAGGGGCATCAATCATTAACTGTCTCCCGCTGGACATTGAGCTGTTGACCGCAACTCTCTGTGTGCGGCCATTCAGCCAATTCTTTATCCACCGAGTGGTCCATCCATCAAATTTATATCTCTCCAGTTTAGAGACAAGGTTTTTTGTGTGGGACAGTGTCAAACGCTTTGCAGAAGTCCAGATAGATGATGTCAAATGCCTATCCATCAGTTCCGTAGCCCCATCTCATAGAAGGCCACCAAACTGATCAGGCATGACTTGTCCTTAGTGAAGCCATGTTGGCTGTCACCATCCAACTCGTTGTTTTTCATGTGCCTTAGATGTGATATGCTTGAGAGGTTTTGTCAGTGACTGAGACATGGATGAGTTGAGGTGAGAGTTTTGTTAACTTTGACTTCCATATTGTTCCTGGCAATGGTAATGTCATGGTTTAAGCTGAGCCAGTAACTCAGAACTATGCAGCTGCTTGCTCACTCCCCCTGCTTCCTCCCCCCACTCCCAGAGGGATGGGGAGGAGAATCGAAAGAATGTAACTCCCATGGGTTGAGATAAGAACAGTCCAGTATCTAAGGTATAACACAAAACCACTATTGCTACCACCAGTCATAATAGTGATAAGGGAAATAACAAAGGAAGAGAATACAACTGCTCACCACCTGCCCACCGATACCCAGCCTGACCAGAGCAGCAATCTAACCCCTCCGGGTAACTGCCCCCAGTTTATATAGTGGGCATGATGTGCTGTGATATGGAATACCTCTTTGGTTAGTTTGGGTCAGGTGTCCTGTCTCTGCTTCCTCCCGGCTTCCCCTCCTCCCTGGCAGAACATGAGACTCAGAAAGTCCTTGGTCAGAGTAAACATTACTGAACAGCAACTAAAAACATCGGTGTTATCAGTGTTGTTCCCAGGCTGAAAGTCAAAACCACAGCACTGCACCAAATACTAAGAAGGAGAAAAAATGAGTGCTGCTGCTGAACCCAGGACAGGTAGCAAGCATCTTCTGTGAATTATGAATTTACTTTTGACATTTCTTAGATTTTTCACAAGCTCTTACCCCATTTTTAAGTTTCTTTTTGCTCATCGTATGACTAAGAATATAGAAGCTTTAATAATTTAAATATTTCCTTAGCTCTTATGATGTTTCTTAAGCCACCCTAATCTGGTAAAACAAATAGTTCCCCATTATTACACTCAAGATGTAAGGAAAACCCAAAGAACCCAATTAGCCCTTTCCCATCACTGCTAAGTTGACATGGGAGGTGTGAAGATCATGCTAATAAAACATCCTAGTTTTAAAAAGCTTGTGTAAGCGTGGAGAAGCTGTTCCTAGTCAACACTCACAGAATCCAATGTCAGTGTCAAAATAGTCTCTTTGCACAGAGAATTGTGAAAGAAGTGATATAAGGAAAGCAAGTGCCTGGAAAACATAGGGTTAAAATACTTTTAACTTAACTTAGGTCTAAGATGGAGAACAATGCTTGTGTTGTAAGTCTGTGGTGTGATAACAGAATTTAGTAGTCTTACTATCAAGAGTGAATTATTTCTTTCCATTCTTCTAATGAGTGAATTATTTCTTACCATCCTTCTAATGAGTGAATTATTTCTTACCATCCTTCTAATTATCAGTTCGTTTGGAGACAGCGATTCCTGAACATCTGCTAGCTTAGGATACTCCTTGTCTGCCCATCCTGTTCTGCTTGCAACAAATTTTGTACAAAGGTCACACTGTTCTAAATCTTTGCCAGCTATCAGAAACTTGCAGATACAGTTGGTTTCAGCTAATTTGTGATTACTGGGGCATCCAACTGTGCCAAAGGTGAAAAGTGCACCCTGAGGAAGACTGCTTACTTCATCTTGAAGACCCCTGCCCACGACCATCAGAAGGCAGTGCTCAAGCGCCAAAAGGGAGGAGACTTATGATAATGAGTACCTGAACTAATTGTAATATCCCCACAGCTCTCTCGGGAACCTAATGAATATGCATGTTTGTGTGTAATAAATATCTGCTTGCTTAACCCCTCTGTGTGCAGCTTAGGAGGAGTGAGCCCCCTTGCACCCCGCACCATAATAAACATACCTGCTTTATAACTCTGAGTTGTAGAGTCTGATTCCATGTTTCAGAACAAAGAAACAGAACAAAACATTAGTAACAGAGCTCTGTAAAATACATATTCCACTTTATAAGGGCTGCTGCAGTAATTTTCCTCTGATTTTTGACCTTTGTGTGTTTAACATTATAATGCTGTGGCTGGAGCTTTGGATTCAGGTGGAGACAAACTCTAAAAATAAACCTAATTTGTTCTAAGACAGAAAACTGAGGTCCATGTAACTTTAACATGCAATTACAGGTGTGCTCAGGTTCACTCAACTGAGAATCAGTTGATAACACTTGCAGTGTTAATTTAAAGCGAGTAGCAGAACCTGCCAAAGGACAAATTGGGCAGGTTTCCTGCAGCTTTATGTTGCTCCAGAAGCCTTCTTCCAAATGAGTAGTTTTCTCCTACTGCTAGTTCATTAATATTGCAGTACTAGGTACTACTGATGCAAAGGGTTAACTGATGTACGGGGGGGGTGGGTTAAGCCGCTTGCTTAACAATGTTACTGCTTACTCATGCTTACTTAACAAATGTGTGCTCAACACTTATTGTGCTTGCTGGAACAGGGTGGGAGGACCAAGGCTATTGATAAGAGGAAGGAACAGTAACTCCTGTTCTCTGGACCCCTAAACTGGCTGAAATCAGCTTTGCGGTTTGGACGGTGACTAGATCACCAGGGAACATGCGCAACGACTAGAGATGAAAAGTTCAGGGAAGACTCATTTACTTCATCTTGAGACCCTCGCCCACGACCACCAGGAGACACTATGCAAGCAAGGACCTTTTACCTCATTACAATATGAAGCAGGGATAGGTCATGAATATGTATAGGCGTGTTGCGCAACCTCATGAATATGTAATAGTTTGGAGGATAAATATGAAGGAGAACAACGCTGAGGTGCGTATGCCTTTGGAGGAGCAATCCCCCATGTGCCTCAGCGCTGAATAAAGCATGCCTGCTTTACAACTTTAACGAGTTGTGGAGTCTACCCACGTATCACTACTGTCAGAATAGGATGTGGGAGTTTCTCAGGGTGAATGTTATCATTATGGCTATAAGCAGCAAAAAGCAAGGTGGTTGGGAATCAGGGTTTGCAGTTGTTTTTCTAGAAATGAGCTTGACTTGTTACAGTTGTGTCTAGATGGTTCAGTGCAGCTCCAGAACAGTGATGCCTGTGCTGGTGGAAGCTTGACCTTTTTGATGGCTTGCAGGAGTTTGAGTTGACTCCTTGCCACTGCCTGCATTTTCAGAAGCTGTTTTCTGTAGGCTTTGGAGTAGGCTCTGTGCAGCTAATGTAAAAGCAATCCCAAAGAAACAAGGCTAGACAATAAGAGGTAAGGTTGAAAGGGATAGACGTCCAACAAAGGAGCATTTTAGATACAATTACACAAGCTTGTCTGATCCTAAAATTTGATTAAGAACAAATAAAATTATATTGCTGGGCAGTCAGAGACTTCTCTGACCACTTTAAGCCCTTGCCTAGGGCAATCTATGAATATTCAATGTGATGACCTCTCTGATAATATTTCAATCACCTGAACATACAAATCATGGAGCTTTTTTTATCCTTGAGGTAGGATATGTTTTTAATTCTTTTTATCCTCTTGGTTGACAGACATACCTTGAACTCAACTACTCAGTGATTAACACTCTCTGATTATTGTATGCTGATCTTGGCTATGCCTTTTTCATCATAGGATTGATTATTTGAAGTCTGAAGTAGTTGTATGAGCACATGCTAAACTGGTTTCAGATTATTACCTGAGAGGGTTTGATTCCTTTTTTCTTCTAAGAATAGGTCCCCTCCACAGCATCTGTATTAACCAGCTCTGCTGCCTCCGTTGTGCAGGGCCAGCAATGCTGGATTCCCACTGCTTTCTATTCTGTCAGCTATGGACAAAGAAAGCATTTAATTCCTTGTGTCTTTGCACCAGAACATTAGGCTAAACAAAAATAATAACTCACAGTTTCCATGTAGGCCTGTTTCCTGGACTTTGACCTTTCCTGTTGCTCTCCTTCAGACTCTTAAGGAGTGGTCCAGGTCTCTCCTGGAGGGCAATGCCCCACACTTTGGCTAAATTTTCCCAACTGAAGAATGGGGCTGACTGAAGAATAGGGTGGATTGAAGAATGGGGTTGATTGAAGAATAGGGTTGTAAATAAGTAACTTCAAGAATGTTAGGCTTTGTTAGCAGCTATAGAGAAGAGGAAATTATTAAGATAAGCTTTGCCAGAACCACCTGGTGGTTACTGATATGACTGATATGACAATGATCTGTCCTGGGTTCAGCAGTAGCAGTCATGATTTTCCTTTGTGTTAACTGGTGCAGTGCTGTGTTTTGACTTCTAGCTTGAGAACAGTGTTGGTGAAGCCGATGTTTTCGGTTGTTGCTAAGTGATGTTTACCCTGACCAAGGACTCTGTGAGGCTCATGCTCTGCCAGGGAGGAGGGGAAGCTGTGAGGAAGCAGAGACGGGGCGCCTGACCTGGGCTAGCCGGGGAGGTATTCCATACCACAGCACGTCATGCCCGGAGTGGGAGGTAACTGGGAGTTACCCGGAAGGACAGGGGCTTCCGGGTGGAACTCGCTTTCTTGGCCGGTGGTATCATATTCTCTTCCCTTGTTATTTTCCCTTATCATTGTTTTAGCTGATAGTAGCGGTGGTGATTTGTTGCTGGACTGTTCTTGTCTCAACCCGTAGGAGTTGCACTCTCTCGATCCTCCTCCCCGTTCCTCCGGGAGCGGGGAAGGGGAGAGCCCTGGTGCAGGGGGGGGGGGGGGGGGGAGACGGACACGGACCTCGATTGTTGTCAACTCGGCACCATTCACAAGTTACCTGACTGGGTTTAAACCACGACAGGTCTTTTTTTGGCGCCCAACGTGGGCGCCATCAAAGTGACGAAGAAATAACCACCTGGGGTCTGAAAGCCCACTACCACATTTTTGTGTGCATACAGGAGACATTCTCTAAAAGTATGATGTAATGTATGTAATCTAATGAATATGTATGTTTAAGGACAATATAATCACAGCCTGGTTGATGCTTGGTAGAGACACGCTTGGAGGAGCGATCCCCTGTGTCTCCTGGTGCTGCAATAAAGAATACCTGCTTGCCAACTTAAACTTTGTTGGCGAGTTCCTGGAGATTTCTCCGAATCACAACAAAAGCCTTTTTACTCTGCACAAAGCGCAGACTGCCACCTTTTTTATTCATGTATGTTTGTCTCTTTCAGAGTTGTGGCATTCTTGGTTCCCACTCAGTGTAATTTACTATAATTGCTAAATTCTTTCCTAAAAAGCATCTAGCTAATTGATTTTCCTCCATCCTGTATTTCTGCAGTAGAGTATTTTTGCATGCTCTAATTGAAATGCACCCTATTGCTTGTGCTAGTTTGTTTGTTGAGACCATTTGCAATTCTGATCCTAACTTCCTGCACATTCGCTGTCCCTTCTGGCTGAGGGTCATTCGCAAATGTACTGAGAATACTCTATATCCTACCTTCCAGGTCACTATAATATGGCATTGAGCAGAGCTGGCTCAGGACAAATCCCCAAGGAATTACCTTTGTGCATCCTTCCATTTTGACAGTGAACAATCAGTAACTGCCTGGCTTATAGTCACCCTGTCTTTCTTGCATCCACCTACTATAGTGTAATCGACATTGCGTATCCATAGCTTACATAAAAATATAATGGGAAACAGTGTCAGAGACTTACTAGGTGAATGATATTTATCCTTCTCTCTTTGCACAAGGTCTGCTACCTTGTTGCATTATTAAATGATATTGTTTTGACATTATTTTTATGACAGATTCATGCACAGTGCTGTTCATCTCTTTCATGGCCTCCATGGTCTTACAAATCACTTGCTTATTTGTTTGAGCATTCTTGACTGCCCTTTCATTCCTCATGCTGCCGTCCTTTCTTATCTTCAGCATGGGCAATGTAATTTTCCAATTGTCCTGTGCCTCCTTCATGACTTTTCTGAGGTGCACTCCTAATGATGTCCCTGAATGGTTCTGTATAATGACCTACAGTCTATTTACCTCAGAAACTAATGGGCTGAAGCAATCAGGAAGATCTAATTTACTCAAGTACCCTTGAGATTGGGTTGGATTACTTGTTTTTTTTTCCCTTAATGTAGATGGACAGTTACTTACATCATAGGTCTTAATTGTTAACCATCTCCATGGTGTTGACCTTTTGATGGAGATTATTGCTCAAAAGAAAGCCTCAAAATCATTAGGTTCACCTCTGCTGCTGAAACAAAGAAATACAAAATGAGGTATAATCTTTTGTAAATAAGTAAAATCAGTAAAGTAATAATAAATAAAAAATATTTATAGTAGAAATTTTTAGCTATTTGGAGAGCTTAATCAGGGGAAGTAAAATAAAATCGTTCTGTTTGCTCTAAAATATACTTTATAACATACGTGTGTCAAGACATACTGAAAAATTTCCTGGTTTCAAAGCTCTGAATTACCAGGATTATAACTAGCTACTGGGCATCTCTGAGCATTTTTTCTATGGATTCTATGCCTCTCTGCTCAAAATACCAACTCTACCAATGAACCATGGTTGTAAGTATTGCTGCACTGTAAAATGGTGATGAAAAAAACGACTAATATTGTCCTGAAGAAATGAAATTGATCCCCACCTGTTCCAAAGAATTTGTGTGGAAATCTGCTTTCTGGGATAGGACTGGGGAGTTGGTGTGTTGGTAAAGGCTTTATAGGTTTGTTTTTTTTTTTTCCCTATCGATGTGAGGAATAGTAACGGACTAAGGAAAGAGTTAAGAGTTTTCTTCAAACTGTGCATTGTCTTAGAATAGGGAATAGGTATGTTCTTGTTCTTGCCAGTTAAGCTATAACCCAGAATAGAATAGGTAGCCAAAACACATTCCTTAAAATCAGAGACCCTTTTCCCTCAAGAAGATGAATGTCTGACAGGAATTTGTTTCAACTAGTTTCTATAAGACTTGAGGTTGACAGCTGG